ATCATAGGATTATTAATTTGGATATTAATAATCCGGTTAGATCAATATTTATGTGATCGTCTTTATTGGATAAAGATTAGTTGATCTCATTAACTAAATCACATAGATAGATGATGCATATAGAGATATGATCATTGAACCGACTCATTGGATAATTCCTAATGGTTAGAATTACCATAAACTGTCAACAAGATATTCTCTTGAAGAATGTGATGTAAGAGTTTCCTTTGACCTGAGATCGTCATAGTAATTGACAAGTTATTTGTTGTGCTTTGATACTAGACACCTATGGCCCTAGGGCGATAGTTGAAAGGATATTGGGTACGATTGAATATTTGTAGAATTAGTGATTGATCAAGATGGAATCTGTCAACTCTTGGTAATGAGTTTAAGCTCCATGTTGTCATGAATTATAAACGACCAAATTAAGACCTTGGCCAGGGCAATTGAATGAAAGAAGAAAAGAGTTTCTTAGGTCATTCAATGGTCGATTATATTTGACATGAACACATAATTGGTCGCGTATTAGGATTTGATAGTTGAACCATATTGTAGAGTGACTCGGAGCTATAAGGACACAAGGAAATATTACTTTATTCTTCTACTGGTTCTTGAGAGTAAATTGTATACTTCATTCTATCCGGTCGTTAAGGAGTGTTGCTAGACGCCACCCTTGATTAGTATATTGATGTGATCAGTTTACTACTGGCTTAGTATTGAACCTGTGGGGTGACACACTAACGAGTGTTCTAATCTTTGTTAAAGAATTGATTACTTTATTATTTGATAATTAAATTAAGAATTTAATTAGTCAAATAAATTTAGTTATTAGTTCAAATGAAATATTATTATATTCTTTGCTAGTACAGAGAATATAATTAATATTGTGAACAAATTGAACTTTTCTATTTGGAATAGAAAATTGAATTATATTTCTTGGTTGAAATATATATATACAGATATATATATGATATGTATCTAGTACTCATAATTTATATTTATATATATAATGCTGTATATAATATTAATAAAGTTTATTTTTATCGAAGTTGGAGTTGGACATGGAAAGTCCATGAAGGACGCGCACTTACGTTACGTATACCCATTTAGAATGGGACTTGTAATTTTCCATAAAATTCAATTGTGGAATGGACTTGGAAAAAGGTACTATACTTACATTAAGGCTGAAGATTTTGTGGAAAAACTTACCACTGTATTTTTCATTCAATTTGTTCACGAATTTTATTGATCAAAGAGTTGATAGCAAGGATCGGTCTCGGTATGGATACACATAGAGTCTTCGCACTATCGAAGAGATTTTGAAACAAGACTCTCTTCACCAGGTACGTCTTAAATTCGATCTTTGACGTGTGGATAAATTTTAAATACGATAAGATCGACCTAAAATTGTTATTGTCTTCCACTTCATATTACGAACATCTATATACAATCCTTCACATAGATGTTAAGAAAGTTAAATAGAATGTTCAAACATTGATTATCTGATTTATATTGTATGAGAATTTTTTTCCTTTTAGTCAGTTATGAAATGTGGTGGTTGATTTAATGAAAACTTTCTGTATCTGTGACCGGATTGGCTATTGCCTGGTCTTTGTTTTAGCTGGGGTCAGAATCAGGAAAAGGCAAGTGTTTCAGTTTCTAGTTTTGCAATGATGCTCAATGCATGTGGTGTTCATGTTCCTTTGTTAGCTGTAAAGGTGATCTTTTCTTCCAAATTCGGTCCTCTTGCACATGAACAGATTCTTTCTTCCGTGTTCAATTTTCAAAGAATAAATCCTCCTCCCTTAGCCCCTCCACGCACACACAACCACCCACTGAATTTCCCCACCCTATAATTTCATTAACGGTTACTCTTATTTTTATTTTTGGCACCAAAGCTATGAAATTATTTTTTGTAACAGAAAAATTATTTAACTTTACCTTAATATCATAAAGTCTCTAAATAATTTTTATAATCAAAATGTCACTCAATTTTGTCCTAGTATCATAGAAAAGTTTCATTCGATTCCTTCTAATAATTTTCTGTTATATTTAAACAAAGATGAGTGACTTTTTATCACAACAAGTAATTTAGTGACATTCATCCTTCATAGGTAAAGTTAATGGATGTTTTCTTTACAAAAAATTATTATGTGACTTTGGTACAACAAAAAAAATGAAGTGAAAATGACACTGTCAAAATAATAGTCGAAAAATATATATTTTTTGTATATATATATATATATATATATATATATATATTTTATATGTTAATATAAAAATTATACAAATTTTATACACTTTTTTGGCTAATCAAAAGATGAATGACCATCCGTCAAACGTTTCAATAATTTATTCCTATAAGAAAGGGAAAAATGAATTTTGCACCCATCACCCAAATTTTCTTATGTTTTGCTGTGAATGTGGATCGATATCACCCCTTCTGTCAAGATTTGCTCAATCTTAGAAAATGTAGTACATTGACATTTTCCTATCCCTTCTCCAGCAAAATAGCAGAAGGGATTTGATGGCAAAGTTCCAAGAAGAAAAGTGGTTTCCTATTGATGCCCTAAAGTATACCAATGATCACAAGAATTGAGCACATTCATTGGCAAATGAGCTTCTCTGAAATATTCCCATCATTAGGGTCTATTAGAATATACCTAACTTTAAGAAAAATGCTTTAATACCAATGTACTAGGTCATTTTAGATTGAGAAATCAGAAAAAGGAGCTTTAGACCAAAAGTGTAGTTCATTTGGACTCAATAGACACAAATAGATTAAAAATAAATTGGGCATCATTTTATATATAGAGCGGTTATTCATCGCGCTATACCTTAAGGGACAAATAATTCATATGCACTTAACTGACGCACCAATAATTCATATGGGTATAACGCGTATTATGGATACACTATACATCAAATAATTATACTCCGGGCTGGGTTTTTCTTTATTTAAGGAGTTTCAGAATTTGATAAAAATCATTCAGCATCCTTCAAGTCTTTCGAAATATTTGTTCGTTAAGTTATTTTGTATTTTATCATAATGTCCGAAGAGCAAAAAATTGCGGTTTCATTATATTGAGGAGGGGGGAGGGGGATGAGGTTGTGGCGGAGAATAACTCAGTACGGTATAGTTGTTCTCCATAGTGTCATTTTAAGTTGCCACTTACACTGGAGTACGATAGATTGGTATCGTTGTTATGTAAAAAAAATGAGTGTGAGCAAACGTTCGGTGAATACTAAAGTAACTGGGAGATATTCGTATTCTGTTACTCCGCAAGGAGTTGCTTGTTATGCTGAGTTTAACAGGAAAGACGATGAAACTCTGAGAGATTTTTTGAGGACTCCGGATAAACACCGGGAACTTCTTGTGGTAAAAATATTGAAAATGTACGTCAAGGCTGAAGACGTTCGCAATAATGAGGTTCCGCAAAGCAGGGATATCCCTCAATCATCGGGTGGTTATTTTGGAGTAGTTTTATCTGAACAGGTTCTGAGTGAAAGAGTTTGGCCTGATCTAAACTTATCTCCACGGGCAAATGAGGAGTGAGTATATAATTTCTCCCCAAGTTAACATAATCTACAAGCGGAGTGGTAAACTTCAATTTTTTTTTGTGTTACAATGTTTATTTTTATATATTAAATTTGTATTAACACTCATATATTCCATATGGGGTACCAGCCAGATATGAATTTTACAAGTTATAAACCAATAAACAGTTGGAATATGCCTAGTTTTGGTGTATTGGATCATGGTAGTCCATCCGGAAGTCATCACCAACAGGATAATGTGCATCATAGTATATCAACACATTATGATTTGTAAGTGAAGTGATAAAGTTTATATGTAAAATTTGGATGAATTTGAGAAACTCATTATTTTATTGGTTGTGCAGTGAAAACGAGCAACTTGAAAGTCTTGTCCTTACTCAATTTCCCGAATACGATATATTTAATCGGGATCTGGCAGATGCGCAGAGTCAGGAAGATGATAGTGATTATGACAATAATGCTGACGAGTTTGGAGATGACACACCCTTCCCTGATGAGGGTGACGGTGATGAGGACGAGAATGATGAACCTGATTTGACGAGGAAGCATGGTCCACCTCCCATTAGTCCAAGAGTGTACAAGTCCCATGTTTTGTTTCATTCAAGGAATATTCTCTACCTTGATCAGTTGCCAAGTATACCGGATGTCCATGCCCTCATAAGGGATCTTGACGAAATTCAGACAGCAATGTGGGATGAATCTAGAGCAACAGTACTGTCAAAGGGCATGCTTTTTGCTGATAAAGCGTGCCTAAGCAGGGAAGTGTAAATGTATAGCATAAAAGAGTGTCGTGAGATCGTGGTTCATGAGTCATCTCCGGAAGTATACAAGGTTATTTGTCATAAATGATTTTAAGGTTGTAATTGGATGTTGCGTGCGAGAAAGTTGAAAATAAATATGTGGATTGTGGGGACGGAAGAGCTCCACATAGCTAAGCCTCTGGACTAATAATCGGGCAAACCAGCTATGAGCGCGTCACTGTATGGCCTCCATAAGAACTATTAATTAAACATAGGAATCGTGAGTAAACGCAACGCATATAAAGCCAGACCAAGTAAATTTAAGTATACATATACCTGCGCGCCTTCAAACAAATCCAACAAATTCATGTAATAGGGGAGATGATGTCGAGCCTTGAACTCGCGTCCGTAGCCTCGCCTATCAATCCACCTCCAAGCTAAAAGGAGAAACAGTGAAGGTGGAGCATCCAGAGCGATGGGTGGTAGAGGTGGCTGGAACTGTAGGAACCGCTCCCAGGCCCAAACCTAATATAGATAGTGGACGTAAAATTTAAGGTATTCTTTTTACATGTATGTTATAATCGTGAAAAGATCTAACTATGTTTTCACCTGCAGCAGCGGTAAAAATCCGACAACATCTCTCTGGGTGCCCATGCTAGCCCGACACATCTGCCTATACAAGTAACCTAGCACAGCTGCACCCTAGCTGTAACCAGGTAAATCATCTAACCGCTCAAGATGATGTAGAAATCTCAAGATGACTAGGTTTTCCGAAGTGTTCGGGAACAATATACCACCAAACATCAGCAGCAACAATAATCTCGTGTGCCGGTCGATAACCTCTGGCGGTGAATCATCCGTAATCTCCGCATCCATCGCCTCCAGATGCTGTCGGACAGGCGTTAGCTGCAAACGACTGGCCTCACTCAATGCAGTCTCCTCCGCTGGCTGGAAACCGGCGATTCGCTGCAACATATGGAGGTAATGCAATCCTCTATAGTCTCTAAGAGCATGCATGTAAGCTATATGTAATCCATCAACCGACAGCCCGAAGAGAACCTCCACGTCCTCAAGCGTGATGGTAGCCTCACGGATGGGTACATAAAACGTGTGCGTCTCCGGTTGCCACCGCTCTATCATAGCCGTGATCAACACCCAGTCGAACTGCAACCGGCCGATCTCTATGATCCTATAGAAACCCGTATCCTGAAGGCGTCTAACTATACGGGGATGCAATGGGTGGTCCCTAATGAACTCCCACATATCGTCTATACATCGGGCGGAATGTCTGGGACAAACACTGCCCATCCCATATGTATGAAGACCTATGGTTGGCCTGTAGCAACAATAGCTCTAGAGATGCAGGTCCGAGATGCACAGGGGGAACCTCCATGACGATATCTGTAAATTGAAAAATATTAATTAAAGTATTTTTCTTTTAATTGCTTAACATCTTGTAATATCTTTTATACTAATATTTAATTGATATTTTTACTATATTGTTACTTAGGTTGATACATTTTTTATATTATAATTTTATATGTTAATTTATTATTTTATATGTTAGTTTATTATTTTATATGTTAGTTTATTATTTTACATGTTAGTTTATTATTTTATATATTTTATTCTTATTTTATATGTTAGTTTATTATTTTATATGTTAATTTATTATTTTATATGTTTGGTTCTTATTTTATATGTTAGTTTATTATTTTATATGTTTGGTTCTTATTTTTTATTTTATATGTTTGGTTCTTATTTTATATGTTAGTTTATTATTTTATATGTTTGGTTCTTATTTTATATGTTAGTTTATTATTTTATATGTTTCTTTCTTATTTTTTATTTTATATGTTTGGTTCTTATTTTATATGTTAGTTTATTATTTTATATGTTTGGTTCTTATTTTATATGTTAGTTTATTATTTTATATGTTTCTTTCTTATTTTTTATTTTATATGTTTGGTTCTTATTTTATATGTTAGTTTATTATTTTATATGTTTGGTTCTTATTTTATATGTTAGTTTATTATTTTATATGTTTCTTTCTTATTTTTTATTTTATATGTTTGGTTCTTATTTTATATGTTAGTTTATTATTTTATATGTTTGGTTCTTATTTTATATGTTAGTTTATTATTTTATATGTTTCTTTCTTATTCACCTTTTTTGGGTATAATAGAATTAAATAATTAATTTTTATATCAATACATGATTTAATTAATAAGTATTCATATACAATTAATTAGTTTGACAAATATTGTTATTTTTATGTTATTTTCTTACATTTCTTGACTAGAATTCGAGAGAGTTTGTGTTTGAACTATCATCTTTTTTCAGATATTTTTGGGGTTAGCAGATAATTAAATGATTGATTTCAATAACTACAAAGATACTATGCTAAAGGGCACTACATTACAATTACGGGCACTACATTAAAATTACGGGCATAACATAACACTAAAGGGAACTAAATAACATTAATTATTCATAAAATAATAATTTATCTATTTTACTAATCTTTTAGCACATAAATAATCTAATCCGGATAACAAAAAACAAATTAATTTAATCACAAAATAATCATGAACATACATATACCACAGTAAAGAATAACTAATAAATATTTTTTATAACAACTAATAACATTAATTATTCATAAAATAATAATTTATCTATTTTACTAATCTTTTAGCACATAAATAATCTAATCCGGATAACAAAAAACAAATTAATTTAATCACAAAATAATCATGAACATACATATACCACAGTAAAGAATAACTAATAAATATTTTTTATAACAACTAATAACATTAATTATTCATAAAATAATAATTTCTCTATTTTACTAATTTTTTTAGCACAATAATAATCTAATCCGGATAAAAAATAACAAATTAATTAAATCGCAAAACAATCACGAAAGAACATATATCACAGTAAAAAGCAACTAATAGGCATTTTTTATGCATGAGTTTTAACAAAAAATAAGTCAGAATACCTCGATTTTAAATTTTTTGAAAGGTGAAGATTTGATGATTTGAGGGCCGTAACGAGCAATTCACTACGCGATAACACCTTAGATCCGATATTAGCTTGCTACAATATCGAGAATCTACACTTTTTGTGAGACCGGTGGACTCCAATGGAGTTTTTTTACGTTAAAAATGAGGGGNTTTTATATAGGTATAGCGCCTTATATATGCGCGCTATACCTCCCGCCCATTTTAAGTTCAAATATAGCGCGGTTATTGACCGCGCTATACCTTAACGGACAAAACTGCCGTTAAAGTATAGTGCGGTGAATAACCACGTTATATATAAAATGGAGCCCAATTTGTTTTTAACCTATTTGTGTCTCTTAAGTCCAAAAAGACCACAATTAGATTTAGGACTCGAAAAAGAAGAGTAGATATTATATTTAAAGTGATTGAAAAGGACTTTTTTTTTTCTTGTTTTTGTTTTGTTTTGTTTTGGAGCATGCAAAGAGTACTCTAGAAAACATCTATTTATTGAGAAAATAACACTAATCCTATTTGTAAACCCCTCACTACTTTTATCAAAAGATAAAGTGCTTTTGACTCTTTTGACTAACTAATTTATTCATTTTTCTTATATAACATTAGAACTTATCAAATCTGACTGATTCATTAATCATATTATAGGGCAAATAGCCAGTGACGATACCTCAGCTTGAAGTCTAAGAGATATGACCACCAGCTCATGTATTATCACATTTACTGAAATTACGTATAATGCAAGAGAATGGAAGTTAAATATATTTAATAGCTGATGCCAACTCAATATCCATGCCCCCAAAGATCTTTCTGCTTTTTTAGCTATAATATAATTTAGTTGATCTAAAAAGACATTTTTTTTTCCTTCTTTATTCATGATTATTTTACTGGAGAAGGGGGTGAGGGGCAAGCTAGGAGCAATAGAAATAGAACGAAAATAGAAGAGTCTTACAAAAATCAAACATTTTATCTGTACGATACAAGGTGAGAAACTTTACTAGTAAGTGTCTCCATTAAATGTCTCAAGCGCATAGGTGTTGTTTTTCTGTTCCTTTTGTGCTTTTTTAAGTTCTAATATGCTTTGGGCCTAAAATGATTTGCTCTTTCATTACTTCAGAGCAGGGCCAGCTCCAACCTTATGTGGAGTAAGGCCTATGCCTTGGGCCCCAAATTTAGGGGGCCTCATTTTTTAAAAATAATAGATTCATAGGTATTTAAAAAAATATTTAGTATTTTTAATACAAAAATAACGTTTTTAATATAAAGGAAAGAAAATTTTTTAGATATATAAATAAAATAATAATTTGACTTATTTAAAAATGTAGGTGAATATTTTTCATAACTTTTAGTTTTTTATTTTTTACTCCTTCATTAAAAAATTTGCTCTCTCTTCCTTAATTTGTCCAAGTCAATCTTTTTTTTCTTTCCAATCTCTTCATATTGCAGAAAACCCTACATATTTTTGTTGTTTCTCTTTGATATTCTTACTTCTTTCTTCAGGATTTTATTACTCATCTTCTTTCTCCAAGTTTTACTAGTTCAAGTGTTCAGCAATATTTTTAAGCTTCCAGTAGTTTTATACTTCTATTGCTTTGTAAAATCTTATCTAAGATCAACAATATATCAAGAAAAATTAAATAAGGCGGCTATATAATCAATCGAGCAAGAATTATTAGAGAAAATCGATTATAAAAAAAATTATTAACAATTTTATATCTCAAAAAGCTAAAAAAATAGACTTCAAATAAAAACATATTTTATAACTTTTTTTTAAAAATTTAGGCATCATATTAAAATTTGACTTTAGGCCCCGTATGTACTTGACTCGCCCCTACTTCAGAGACATTGAGTCGGTCACGGATAATCATTAACACTTGATTTCAAACTTTATTTTTAGTAGGGGTTTACTTCTTAGATAGTTTGAGCAGCTATCCACCTCGCACTTGGTTATCCACTGCATTTACGATGGGCACGAAAACGGGTGAAACATCGAGGAATTCCATCAAGACAAACTAATATATATATATATATATATATATATATATATATACTGTAGAGGCTAGGGAAGTAATAACTCGTAAGTTAAGCATTTAAGCTCAATTCTCATAATATTATATTGCTATTGTGCCTTCTATTCTAACATGCACACGCGGCAAAGGTTTTTACTAAATGCGGTATCTCACATTAGCTATTCATAATGCAACAAACATAGGATGCTATTTTGATTAAGCCGATTAAGCTTACAAAAGGAAGCCTATATATTATTTTTGATAGGGCCTATTTTCTGGTAACGTCTAGTGGACTTGTGGTAAAAAGAAATTAACCCAAATAGTCGCCCATCCAATCACTTAAATTAAAAATAGCCGGTAAAGGTATAATATATACATAATTTATGTACAATTATGTATAATCAATGTATAATCTATGTATATGACTAGAAAAAGTAAATAATAAATATTGCCGGCTATTTGTGTAAAGATTCCAAATTTCACGGGCACTATATGGTCGCCTTCATTTAACTTGTATCCACTTTTTATAAAAAGTTTAACTATAACCCAAAGTATAAACAACTTTAGATCCTTTTCTCCTCCTCCTCCTCCTCCTTCTTCTTAGTTGCTATGAACACAAAGGTGACATTGGATTTACATGGTATTTGTGAACAAGTTTTAAGGTGCTTTATTATGTTTTCCAATAGTGATATATTGTGATGCTCCTCCCTTTTGCTATTGCTTAGCGTTTCTTCTTCTTATTCCTCTTAGTTGCAAAATGAGTTTATTAGATTAGTTATTGTTTTGGTAAATTGATGATTAAAGTTTATTCTTTATGATATTTAAAAGCTATATTCCAAATTTGAGCTTATTTGGAGTAGATTTGTGTGTTGGATTGTTAAAAATCAAAGAACAAGTTTCTGTTTCTGGGCAATTTGTACTTCAAACTAAAAAGTCTTAAGTGCATTCTTAAGTGCATGCAAATATTTGCTGCAATTCAGGCAATTAGGTCTTAAGTATATTTTAAGTGTAATTTTTGCCCTTCGGACTAAAAAGTCTTAAGTGCATGCAAATATTATCGTATTTCAGACTAAAACAACCTTAAGTCCATCTTAAGTTTGCATCTTTAGACACAAAATTTTTCAATTTCAGACCCGCTAAGTCTGAAGTTGATCCTAAAGTGGGTACACTTACAAGTTTACGGGCAATACGGGTATAAATTTAATAGTGACCCCCAAAATTATGTATAGAT